GATAATAAAGCTCGTGAAGCAGTAGCTTAGCGTTACCTTGAAGTAGCTTACGAGATTTTACAGATATTGGAAAAGGCGCATTGAAAATTCAGTAAACAATGAAAAAATACGGGAAGGAAGATGTAAGCGGAAGGACCGAGACAAAAAGGGGACTGAAAATTGGAACCCCTTTTTCCGAACTGTCCCGCGTGAACCTTCATGGCATGCGTACGAGGGTTACCAAGTTTTGCGCTTCCCAAACATTGGGCTAGTATGCCATAAGGCGTGTTTTATCGCCGATAACGTCATAAAGTAAAATTCATTCAACGTTTCGTACTGCAGTAAAAGCTTTATTCATAAGCATTAATTATTTACTTTAATTGAGATGTCTTTTGAAACGAATATAATTACTTTAAGTTCGTATCTTCTAGCAAAAAATCAGAAGTAGGAAGGAAATTTATACCAAAGGTGGTACGATTATTTTCATAAAATTCAGAAAGGTAGTTAATTTATTGCGGCAAATTTAGCTCTACTTCAGAAGAAATGCGTGTACTAAGAATTCTTCTAGATGGACTAGTTGCTACTATAAACATGGAGTAAACAAGCATACAAAAGCATATCCTTGAAGGGAGCTTATTTCGCTAGGATTCTGATTTAAAAACTACTGCTATTCGCTGATTTTATGTGCCCATGAATTACAAAAGATTTTAGACTGTCTAAACTCAAAGAGTTTTTACAGAGAATAAAATGCCTTTTTTCCATGTGATGTTTAACACATCGTTTTAATAATTCGAAGGGGTTCAATTCCAGGCGATAAAAGATAAGTGAGGCGATCAAGCGAAGGAAGCGATAAGTTTTTCAAAGATAATCAAAATCGTAAAAAACAACCTTATATTTAGCGTAGGTATAATGAAACACTCAATCGATTTCGAGGGCAGCTAAAGGTCCCTCCTCATCAGGAGAAAGAAATACATAGAAAGAAGAAAATAGGAATCACAGAAACACGTGGTGCTTATCAGCACTGCACGTGGTTATAACTAGATTTTTAATCAGAGTTGCACTGGCCGCCTACTTTTACTGAGCCAGGCTGTCTTATCAGGCATAAAGAAATATTAGCGAAGTTAAAATAGGGAGCGAGGGGCAAATGCACATTACGCTCAAAATCTGAACTTCAAATAATGGAAAGCAACCACTGAACGGATTTTTATACCCTCTGGTAGTACCAAGTGCGAGGAGGTAACGCCATCTATCGGCAAAAATAATTGAATTAAGATAGTAGAATTTTAAAGGCATTAGGAAGGACTGGATTGGACTTCAAATCATTAACTAAACTTTCTAAATCTTTGTGAATGTGAAAAGCCTCAAGAAAATCCAATTCGCCTATGGAAGAAGCCTTTTGGATGATTTTTGCAGACCCAAAATCAAAATTATGGTTAAAAGTCCAGCTATGATACGCTATTGAAGACTTGTTAATTTCCCCTTTTTTGACATAAGATTCATGTTCCTTGATACGAAACTTCAACGCTCTTTTTTTCAAAGATATTTGCTGCCAATTTTTTTAGATCTCCATGTACTGTCATCCAAATTAAAATGGAGGGAAGGAGATAATTTGGCACTAAAGACTTGACCCGTTAAGAGGCCATCTATATTTACGCATTCGCTTTAAGCTTGCGATGAAAGAATGCAAAAATTTAGACAGGGCATTAAAGACATTCCTCCGATGAGTTGCTGCAATGTAATAATCAGTTCATAGATTCGGTTATCTAAAGGCCCGTGTTGAACTTCGGACGGAGGCATTATAGTTTTTCAACAATTTCCAGCCTCCTCCCGAGTTTTTCACAACTTAATTTCTTAACTTGAAATATAATTTAAATGTCAATTTGTAAAATATTTCGGGATCCGTTTAATATCCTCATGATTACTTTGACACAGTTCGAGCAAAACCTGTCGACAGAGTAGGAATCCCGATTAATAGAAGTTTCTACTCTGTTCTTCACCATCCAAGGCGAAACTTCAGTGCAATGAAAAGAAGTCCTCCACGAAAGGTAGATAGCCCTTTAGGCAGATAGCCCTCGTGTGCTTTGCCATAATTGAATAATCCATCCATCCATTCATCTTTCCTGATTATGACTTTCAGTAATTGAATTGTATCGTAATGTTTTGCATTGAATTTTTAAACTGTTTTCAAATATGTAAATGTATTGTTAATTACCTACGATGAGAAGAATGAATGCACATAATACATTATTAATAAATTGTATAGATTGTCTATTTTCTAAGTTTTATATGAAAAAAAAAATTTAAACATTTTCTATTCAAAAATTATTATTGAATCATATTTATTGGAAAAACTGCATAATGCTTGTGAACTTGTTAGTTCACAAGATGAAAATAAGCTGGACTTACTGGCATCAAGAGTCTTTTAAAAAGTATCTCATTCGACTTCAATTATTTTTATGAAAGGACTGCTTAATGGACATTTTGAGAAAAACTCAGGACTTTTATGCTTCTAATTTATTTATTATTATTCTTCCATAAAAAATTTAGCTAGATGTTTATTTATAAATCATTGTAAAATTGTATAATTCAAAAACTTTATACTTATATGAGAAAAGATCATGGTTTATGATGGGACATAGTTAAAGCCTGTAAGCTATGTCCTGGATGTTTCTTCATGTCTTTCCTCATACTTCTTGCTTCACTAATCTACTAATGCTTTGCTCACCCGGCCTCTTGTTTTTGAGGGGGGGGGGAGATGTAAAATATAAAAAATACGATAGCTTTGCTCTACGCGCACACGCAACCTTTAATTAACTTTCTGCAATTCAGGATCTTCCCCCTAGACCAGTACCTTCCAGAACATTCACGCCTATTACATAAACGCTACTATAAATACTGAGTGCCCGCCATTTTGAGTCAGAAGCTTTCCTCTCGTTGAACCTTTAGGGTCGACGCTACTGCGCTTCTCATCTTTCTTTCTTTGTTAAAATGTTATGACGCAGAAAGTCAAAATTTAATCGTACTTAGTAACTTATTATTGAATATCTAATTTGGAGAACTTCGTCGGAAAAGGAAATTGATCTGCTATTTGAATTAAATAAAAATGTGCAATTAAAAGTGAAATTCCTCTGTGTGTCTTCTTTGGATATCGCCTTGCCACATTGCTAAAACCACGCCTGAACTTTGATTCCGAGCTTCACGACTGCCAAAATATCACATATATATAAAGAAATATAATAAGTGGCTAAAATTAAAAGCAAATTTTATACCCGTCTTGCGCTATATATATATAGAGAGAGATATATATAGCTAGATAGATCGATATTAGTTTTAACATACATAAAAATGATAGGTTGATGATATACATAAAACTGACCTCTCAAACATCGGACTTACAGCGCACTTAATACTTTAACCGGACCTTACTCTTTTTTACTTTGGCATACACTTGATTTATAATACATATTTAATTCATAAGAGATGATAATTACGAGCATCTGCAGCATTTTAATAATTAATAAAAAATTTCGAACTCCCTTATCTTCATATCTTGATGATTTAAGTTACTCTTTATCCTTTTCTTTTTCATATATTCTTGTATTATATTTAGGTTTTCATGTATGTAGAGTTTGTATATTGTTGTATAGTATTTACGCCAATTTATACTTAATTGATAATTTTCATTAACTCTTGCAGCATAACTCTATTTAGCAAAAGATGTTTCTAACACCTTGGTATAGATTCATCTTTAATATGCAGTTTATTTTCCAATCTAGTTTCAGGCATAATTATTTGAAATTATTTGTAAAGAAAAATGCTCGCCAAATCTTGCTAATACTATTTCTAAGTGTTGCAATTTATAATACAACTAGTTCATGTGATTTATAATATACCTCATTTATAATGCTTATAAAATTTTTCAGCAGTACTGGAATAAACAGCAGATATTCCTAATGTTATACATTTAGATTACAGTGATATAGTTTGCCATTTCTTTCTTCACTAATGCTTTTATGTTACATTTCTTATATTTCATAATGACTTACAGATAAGTTTGACTCATTTACCAAGCATGTAAATCTGTAATTCAGCACACATTTACATTTACGAATATTTCTCTTTTATTTTCTTTAACATATTGTTCAACACATAGTATCTCATCAGCCTAATTTCAAGAGGTCTTACGAGTCACTAAACTTTGGCAGTTCGACCGGAGTTTCAAATCCTAGAGATAACTCAGATCTTTCTTTCTATGCACATATTTAATATGGAAAAAGGCGTTATATAATCTTCAGTTTATGAAGTAAAAATAATTTTAAAACCAATTTTTTTTAAATAATACAATGCTTTATTCATTGATAATTTTCACCTTTAACTTAGTGCATATTTTTTTTTCAAATCCCTTTAATAAGAAAATAATAAATATGATTGATACCTTGTTGCAAATCATACGTAAGTTTTTCCAAAAACTGAGACTTTTTACGGATGTCAATAAATTATGGATTATTTCTCCATTTAATTTGCTTAACATGCTTTATATTTCGAAAATGTGCAATATGCTTCTTTGAAACAAAGATAAAAAATATAAGACTAATGTAATAGAAAGGAATATACTTCCACTGTGCGTCAAATTAAATAAAAAAGTTCAGTCAGAAATAACAGCATAACAAACGAATATTAAAATTTACATTTAGTAAATGTAAATGTTTATAAATGTATTTTATTTTTGGATACGAATTTAAATGATAAAAACACAGTTACGCTAATAGTTCTAAATTTTTTCTTTAACATTTTCCTAATGCTGAAATTTATTATAAAACGTCTAAAAAGCTTGTTTTGAAACAGTGCTTACATCCATCCCTATTAGCGCTTTTGTGCTTTTTAATGTTTCGCTGCCCGTTTACGTCACAGATACCACGGCTACTGTGGCGACGTTTCCGTACATCTTGGCGACTTGGGGAAACGCAGATGTAACTTTATGCCAAAAGCAGCAGCAGAAACACGTTAGGCGCGGAACATTTCGGCTCTTGCTTCGTCATTTCGCGCTATGTAAATGTGATCTTTTATTTATTTACTTTTCCATTGCTGTAAAATGCTTTCAACTGCAAACAAACTCTGAGGCACTTCTTCAAAGGGCCCACTTCTTTTTTTACATTACCTTTATTATTCATCTTTTTCTCTTTTACTGAAAAATAGCAATTTTTTTTAACATGTCTTAAATGTTAACAGCTGAAACAGAAAGTTTGCAGGAACTTTTTAATTGCCATAAAAGGTTTCAGAGATCGGATTGTATAATTTCAGGGTCAAAAAGGAATCTCTATGCTTAACTAGAACACTGTGTAAATACTGACAGTCATGTCAACAAAGCAGGGAAGAAAACGACTGCTTAAATTACCATGCCCGACTCTGCTCTGTTGTGCCCGACTATGGTCCTTGTCATATGTTTCAGCTTCGGATCAAAAAGTAAGTGATTTTCTTGTAATTACTTTTCTTTGATGAGCTGTGAAGGTCATATGGAATACAAAAGTAGCTCTATGTTATTATCTTATTATATGTAACTGCCAACACGTGTCGCATTTTTTTCTCAAATTCCAATGGATCATAGAGTTTGACAGAACAACTAACCATCCATATGACATGATTGAAGCGTACATTATTACCTACTATTTACAAATAAATGTACCAAATTTTAGCATATATTATGCTCATTAATTATAATAAGAAATATCTTTTTCCTCTCTTTAAAGTATACCTTCACCTCTATTTTTAGCAACCGATATGAAAAATCAGCAGAAATTTACTGGAAAATGCTTGCAAAGCGGTATTTATTTCTAGGATTGTTTTAAAGATTTGAAAACGCAAATGTCAGGAAAAGAAAAAACAACGGATCATAGAAACGGATACAGGAGATTTCAGAGTTTTTGTTATTAAAAATAGTTTCGAAGCTGTGTAGTTTTTTTAAATATGGTGATTTATATTTAGGTAATCTACCACCCTGTATATATAGACCTAATACTAAATGCGATAATCAAAACACTGATTTTGAAACGTATAAATATCGTATTTTTGATCTGTTTGTATATATTTGATTGTAAGTGAATATGGCTAAGTCAAAAGGAATGAAAAGCAAAGATATTAACGTTACCTAAAATTACTTTTTATGCTTCTGAGATTGTATTCAAAATTTCAAATCACTGAATTACTATAACATAATATGTTTAAAGCTATATGTCAGATATTTGTTTTTTTATTAGAATTTCTGATTCTAAAATAATTGTTTTAAATAAAACTCTGTTGTCCTAATGCTTGTTTTAGGTTTCTGCTTTCAGATAGAAAATGAGTCTGTAGTATTTGTTTTGTCATTGCAGCCAAAGAAAATGTACTATTAATTGTCATTACTTAAGAGTTTTATCTTTAAAAGAAACAGATTTCTGCTCGGAAATCTAGCTCCTCTTGCTTCTGTTACACACTTACATCTTGTATTATAGACTGAGGTATTCAGTTTTGTCAAATTTACATTGACAATAAACATGAGTTAATACATTTATAATCAGAGTTTCGAAATATTAAATTAAACAATAGTTATAGAGGGAAAGACAAAATCTCGCTCAATAACAGTTGGGAGGCAAATAAACTCGTTATTACATAAGGGGCAGAAATGAACCAACAGCTAATGATCCAAAAAATGAGATGTTGAAGGAAATTTCTATTTATTTTAAATCTTTGAGCTGCTTGAAATTACTTTTACAATGTATACAAATAAAGCTATACATCTTATTTTTAAAATAAGCTTCTCAGCTAATATATTTCAAACAATCACTTTGAAAATCCTAATTTCACTGAAATTTCTGATCTGAATATTTGAAAAATATTTATCTTCACAAGTTATGAAACTAATAATGTGTTCCGTTCTTTAGAACAATTTATTTCCATTTGTTTAACTTTAAGCACGAGAATAAATATTCGAATTTAAGTTCACAAACGAATTTAGATACATCCACAAAGGTTTTGGAATCAATTAACCTCAGTTTTGCTTGTTAATGCGCGCAGAAAATACGTCATGAAAGAAACGATGTGATGATATTAAACATACAAACTAAATCGAAAGGGTTAAAAGGTATTAATTATGTTTAGCAAATGAGCTTTTGACTTGAATTTTTCTAACTGAAGAGATTTGTTACTATGTGCAATGGGAATAGAGCTATGCTTCAGGTGACGCTTTAGATTCAACCTATAATGTACCGAGGATTAAAGATGGGGATAATTAATTAATAATGCTCTTGATTTCAATAGCGTGACAATAAATATTTATATTCCCTTTGGAGATGCTATTTGATTATCTGTGTTGCATCAATAAGCGAAGCCACAAATGTTACTTATAATTAATTTGCGACGAAGTGAAGCTCTTTGAAACAGGAAATATTTGATCTTTGAAAGAGGAGGCTTAGCATTATTTTAAATATTTTTCCTGTGGATGGTAAGAATACTATTCAGTTCTTTAAATAGTGAACGCTGACATCACTATCAGAAGAATATTTTGATATTTCTTTTAAATTATGCATGTAAAAGAGATAACATTTCGAGAAGACTGGATGTTCCATGTTCAGGGATACGAATGGGAAAATGTTGTCAATATTTATATTCGTTATAAATTAAATATTCTAAACATAGTCTTGTTTTTTAGCCCAGAAGGGCTATTCGTTTTGGCATTTTGCGTCGAAAATTTTTAAATGTCCGTTTCACTTTTCAAATTGTTGCCGCCAAATATTAATGCCCTGTGGTATATTTAAAGAAATTAAATAATGAAGAATCTGCATAAATGTATGTGTGTTTCGCGCATTGTGATAATAAACGGTACCTTGATCCATCAAATTTTGAATAGCGTAATCCTCCAACAAATATGGGCATCTGATGCCCTAATTTGGAATTTGGAATTTGTTTTATTGTCAATTTAATATTTTGTAACACTAACGAATTTTTGATTGACAAACTCAAAGATTTCAAAGCAAGCAAGAGCAACACTGTACCAAAAAAAAAAAAAAAAAAAAAAAAAAAAAAAAAATCTTTAGCGCGCAAGACTGTTTAACGGAAATTCTAAAGAAAGATATGCTCAATTTAAACTTGTTTTGCGATAATGCTGTTGAATTGAATTTTATGGCTTAAGTGCGAAGAAAATTATATTTAATAAATAAAGGTAACACACAAAACGTTAAAAAACTTCTCCTTTGGGCGTAATGTAAAATGTGAAGGCCTTTCAGATTTTTTTAGCCTTTTATTTCATTTTGTAGCTCAATGGGGCAATTTTCCCGGAAGGGCTATTAATTAATTTCGTCTTGGCATTTTGCGTTGATTCACTATAAACGGCGAATCACTTTTTAAATTGTTGCCACCAAATATTAGAGCCCTGTATTATATTTAACGAAATTAAGTAATGAAGAATTTGCATAAATGTATATATGTTTCTATTTCTCACATTGTGATAAAACAACGGTACCTAGAGCTGTTAAATTTTAAATAACGTACGTCTCCTCCCGAATATGGACATCTGGAAGCCAAAATTTGGAATTTAGAATTTGTTTTATTATCTGTTCCATATTTTGTAAAGCAATCATGAGTTTTTTTATTAACAAACTCAACGATTTCAAAGCGAGCAATAGGAATACTGTACGAAAAAAAAAATTATCTCCAGCGCGCGAAATTCGGTATCAGAAATTCTAAAGATGTGCTCTTTTAAATATTTTGTGATATTACTGTTGAATTAAATTCTGTGGTTTAAGTAAGAAGAATATATTTAATAAATAAAGGTAACACACAAAACGTTAAAAAAACGCCCCCTTTGGGTGTAATATAAAATCTGAATGCTTTCAGAATTTTTTTATGATTATTTAATTTTTTGTATTATTTTCGGATGATTTTTATATATTAGATTTGTTTCTGCTTATAAAAGAAATGATGAGTGTTTAAAGTTCTTGAGTATTTGTATAACGGAGATGATTTTTGCATATAGTATATATTCGTGTAAATTCCTTTTCTACTTAAAACTCTCTCATATTTTGGCCATTCTTTAAAATATTTTTTTTCCGTCTCACGAATTGGGCCAAACTGAAAGTTGATATTCTTAGCGTCTCTTTGCAAAGCTTATTCAAGAGCTTTGAATCCCGAGACCGCTTCAAGGGAATAAACGGAGCAGAGAAATCCTAGCATCAGTTTCTAAGCCCTCTTTGAATTCGGAAGCAGCAGTAACTAGGAAGATAAAACGCCAATGTTTTGAAAGAACATGCTAAGGCATACATAACGGAACACTGTGGAAGTTCTATCTCTGGAAGGATGTATTTCAGAAAAGTGTATTTTTTAAATTGTTCATATATCTTAGAGTTTCACCTGCGACATTTTTCAAAGCAACTATGAAAAGAGTTTGGCAACATTCTTATCAAACATGCCAAAAGTAAGAATGCGGGGACACAAAATAGAACTCGCTTCTGAAGTTTTATTAAATTTACGCTAACTATCTACTGAATGTCTCCTTTTAATGCTAACGTCTCGCATCTAATATTAAAATTTCCCTTTCCCACTTCTAAACTATTAGAAAATGAAGAAAGAATATACTTTTGTATCCAATATTCAGAGTAAAACACTATTTTTATGTGATAGTTATTCTATTTACAGTTCATCTCGAACTAACAAAATAATTACTATTTGAACATTCTGATTCATTTCTTCAGCACATACTATTTTCTATGTTATGTTATTAAATAAAATGATGTTCCTAGAAATTCTTACTTTCCCTCCCCATTTGTGAGCTATTTTTATTAAGTTTTTTTCCTTCTAAGCACTGAGAAGTGCCAAAGGTTTTTTTTTTTTTTTTTTTTTTTTAGTTTGAATGGAAATTTATCTTATTTATTTTTTAGTTGATGTTTAAAGCCTAATTTCAAAAATTCAAGGCAATTTAATAATTTTATGCGTCCTCTGTCAGTATGAGACACCGTTTTCATTTGTCAGTATGACCAGACAAATGAGAATTACTCCGGATATCCTTTCTTAGAGTTGTCAAAGATGAGTGGTCTTTGACAGGATGTTGCAGCACAGCTTCCCTGAACCTTACGTATTGAGCGAAAGAAGTGGCATCTTCTGCTTGAGCCTATGTTTTTGATACTTCCTTTTGCCTCCCCTAAAAAACTTTCGCTCGAAATACTCGTAGCTATGTACTAAATTAATAGCTCTAAACTGTTTAAAAAATTGCAGCTGTTCTAAATATAACTGATATAGGATTCGCAGTCATTGTTTCAAAAGCAGTGCAAATGCACTTGAGTTATACTGTAGTCAACTCAATTTAAAAAGAAAGCATATAATAATTTTCATTTAGATTTCACATTTTTTGTTCTTTATGTTTTCTTTACCCTTGCAATATATAATACCCGTGCAAATATTCATAGCCAAATATATGAATGCAAAGCTGTAAGAAC